AACATTTCTGTTGGGTAGCATTTATAAAATGAATTCCAGCTCACTGATTGGCTCAACAAGTTTGAGTTGAACTCAAAAGCAATCTTTCTGACGAAGGATCAGGAAATGCGGTACCTCTCGGACAAATACAACTTGCGTATGTATACGTAGGACCATGAATTTCTCTCCTCCCCCTTTAGAAGAGAGGTTCCCCTGAGAGAGAAGCAAAAGATTATCCTCTTCGTATTCGGCTCTCGTCTGGAGGGAGGCAGTAGTCTGTTTTCTGTTCATCCGCGCGACACGAACCTAGTTGACCAAGTAATCAGACAGGTAGTACTGGTCAGCTGACTGCAGTGCTTCTTAAACCGTCCCCCGATTCTACTTCACAGGATCGATTTCCGGTGTTATTGTTACTTCGTTTTGAACACATTTCCCTTCTAATCGTCAAACGTTTCTAGCCACACGCACACAGTTTAATCTCGTTTTGTTTTATTTGGCATCATGGAAGGTGAAAATATTACTCGAATCAGAACTGCCCCACAGAGAGAACCTAACTCTCTAAGCGCAATTAAACAGGCCTAAAAATTTAACTTCATCGGTCTCTTAACTTCCCTCACTCATACTAATTAAAATTTGTCAGACTTTTTAAGCAGTAATTGTGGGAGGTGACCTTGAGAAGTATGGGGCATTGTCCGAGACGACAGAAAGATCGGCAGACATTGAAGATGAAACCAGCACAGGGATTAAGAAAGAGAGCCAACCGAAAGAAGTGCATGAAAGCTATTGCAATTCGAAACCTACTGGTATATTGAATATCCTAAAATTCGGGTGTACAAGCTGCATTTTTGGGGGATTCATAGTTTGACACCACCACTAGGTGAGACGTATTCAACACCAGAGAACCCGAAAACTGGAAATGCCGCCACAACTAGGCAACTACTCTGAACAAATAACACCTCTACAACGGAAACACCCTTACCAGGATGATCACAACATAGAACACAGAAAACTATTCAAAGGCAGTGTGGGTAAAATTGTTCTGTCTGAGAAACGGGTAAAATGTCCTTTGAAATAAAAACAGTTCCTCCAAAAAGCCTGGATTGCGGACAAGAATCCTCTTCGTTTTGGAACTCCGTGAGTTTCCGGGGAAAGCAGCACGTAGCCGATGGTACCGGTTTGGTGAATCCCCTCCCAAATTAATATCGATATTTTACTACTCAAGACAAGAGAGTATTGACATCTGCATCGTTCTAGCAATGCAGTAAACCCCCCGTAATCCTGCTTTAAAGGATCAAAACATGACTCCAGCCGAGATACACTCACGTATTGACTGACTTCATGATCCTCTGTAGAAGATGTGATAATCTCACTCGACATATCGCCTTTTCCTCCTCTGAGCTACTTATAGATTGTTGATAGTATGAGGCGATTTGAAGGTTGTCTAAATTAAAATTTACCCCTGCAAATAAGGCTAATCTATCCTGAAAAACAAGAAGCACTGTGACAATTGTTTTATTCGTATCTAGAACCATCGGCATTGCTCATCTAGCGTTTTCAAGAGGGGTTTTTAGAGGAGCCTGAAATGAGAAGTAGCCTAGACGAAACAACACGTCTGGGTTTCCAGACAGGGGCGAAGTCCTCTGGCTCACTGCGGGATTCACACAGAGGAATGACTAACGGTACTGGCAGATGTCAACTCTAAGTTCACTAGGCATGTGTTGGCGAATCAGCTGTGAAGTCCAGATAAAGGGAAAAAGGCGTTCGGTTTCCTGGAAGCATCACAAACGAGAGATTCGGTTGGGTTCCAGGTGAGTCTCTCAAAAAACAAATTAGTTTGCAAATGAGTGTATATTCGCTAACTTCGTGCAATTTGGTTTCAAGTAGAACATAAGGTTGACGGAAACTCGGGGACTGCGCCTACCTGATGAGCCCGAAAAAGAAGGGCGATGGATTTTCAGCAACCTTATGAGTATTACATTTGCTTAGTCCATAGAGCCCCCGCCAAATATGTGGGAAATTGGCAATTTAGCACCACCTCTAGATGTGTCCCCGCCAAATATGTGGGAAATTGGCAATTGGCACCTCTAGATGTGCCTTTTCGTTCACACTGCGCGTGCCTGGACGTCTCATTTCCATATCACATTTTAAGTGTAAAAGTCGATTTATGCATGGTTAGGCCTGAACTACGCGTGAACCACTAGGTGAACAAGCTAGTCAGAATCATATGTCGAACGTCATCTGGGCTGATGCAGATAGGCCAGTTCGAAGAGACATCGCTCTTTGTATTGTCATTTCCAACGAGGTGTTTTTTATCGGTGTCATATGCCCGAAACAAGGCGCCATATGTAGGGAAGAGAGTATATCTGGCACTTGGTGACGTATCCCCATGCAGTGATTTGCTGCTGTGCACGTGTGAACTTGCGGTTGGAACATTGATACATTCAACCATTTTATCGATTCATCGGATTACTGACTAAAACCTCGGGCGTCGGCAGTTGACGGTGGCATTTCAAGGAAGCCCCGTCCATTAGTGATGTACTCTAGAACTAGCTTTTGGAATCGCGCCCATCTGGCACTCATGTCGGCCTTCTTAAGCCAGCATACTTGTGAGGACTGACAATCAATTGTTGCGACAGTCGGTGATAAATTACTCTGGTGAGTTCTTACTTGACTAGTGCCGTTGCATTACGTAGCCTTTTCTAGGTCATGTGCCTCATTCGACGGACACTATTTGGCGTAACTGTAATTAGCAGTCCGATGAGCACTTTTTCCAATTTAACACTCCGGGTTGTTATGCGATTCCCTGGGATGGTACGTGTCATTAAAATTCAGTCATTGTGGGACTTATTTATATGTAAATGGTCTAAAGTTCAACTTTTAACATTCTAAGGTGTAGCTACAGCTCATCGACTGACGTGTAAAGTGTCCACGCTGTAGTGGCCAGATATTTTTGCTCCGTACCCACTCGTTTAAGATTATCATCCAGTCGATCAATACCTCAGACAGTCTCAATGAATAACAGTTACGTGACTGTCTCGCTGGCGTAACTGTGTACACTGTCGCATATCTGTTTGGTTAAACCGAAATTCTGGAGAGAATTGGTGAGGCTCCCTAACCGATAACAATCTCATTGCTTTCTTCCACATTCGTTTAGTAAAAGAAATTTCTTCGGCTTTTCTTATGAAGACTTCTGAAGAGAGATCTTTTCTGATTGCCACTTGGCGTTGCCAGGTTGGGTATATGTTACCATTCTCAATTGTGGTATAGTATCTTACAAATCATTGATGACATTTATAAAAAAATACTGTCTGTTCTTAGAGACCAAGTAGCTGACTTTTAATCGGTACATCACTGTGGCTTGATAAGAACCGCTAGAGACTTGGTCTAGACATATGCACTATGACAGCATAGTGCACAAAATAGCTTGAGCCGGTAGACACTCGCGTATGGATAGATTTATCAGATTTTTGCACGATTTACACATTCACGCTTCATGTATCGTCCTTAACACGTATGGTTTAACATGTCTAACAATAATCCAAGTACCGTTAGGGAATGTGTACTTTAATAAAGGAAACTACTCACAAGGTTGCTGAAAACTCTTCGACGGCCCACGACCGGTTCCGCCCTTCTGTTTCGGGCTCATCAGGTAGGCGCAGTCCCCAAGTTTCCGTCAACCTTATGTTCTACATTCAGTTGTAGAATATCATGAACGAGAGATTCGGTTGAGTCTCTCGTGAAAACCAGATTGATTTGCAAATTAGTGTATTTCTCGGAATGTGTACTTACTTCCGTCCAGATTTTGGAAAACTGTTGTGGGAACAATATCAAAAAGAAGTTCGCTTAGTTGACGGAGAGCAACCAAATGGGGTGTCTGCACATAGTTCAGAGTCATATCATGGCAAGACAGCCGACCAAACGTGGGAGCTACATCTTTCCTCCTGGAAGAGCAATCCCAGTTATGCAGAAACCCTGGTCTATCCACCTGTGTTTCCTCACGGGAGGCTAACCAGTAAAAAACTATATCATGCTTGCTTCACGGAATTATTATTGTTTCTGTTTTATCCCGTTTTTTTCAACTTATCATAAAAAGTCTTTCATTTTGTGCGTTTACAGTGAATGTTCCTGATATTCAAAAATATTGTACACTAACACAACCCGCATGGTGGCCGTCAACCTCCCGTCATTTAGGTCACTGAAAGACGGCGGTTTTTTCCATCTACTTACTGCCAAATTGAACTATCAAAGCCGGCAATTTACCACAAAGTTATATTTTTGTATAATAACAGAACCGGTGTTCATTGCATCTTGTTCTGCCGTTCAATACCCCTCGAAACATTCCAACGGTTGAGCTGAATCACCGACTAATTCAGGTCAAGCGCAGCCAATAATAAGTTTGCTTATCACAGCGGTTGTTTACGATGCTGGTGCACTAATAAATCTGAACCGATGGTATGGTACTGTTTATTGTTTAGAAGTAAATCAGTTGTTCAAAGCCCCGGGAAATGCCTCATCTTCGGTTTCAAAGATTCTTCTCCTAGAACGCAGAGTACAGTTGCCAAATCCGTGCCTCCAAGACCGGATTACGGTGGTTCCTCCTGGGGAAATTGATATCTATGTTTGAAAATGCCTCTATGGATGGAAAGGCTACGATTTCACTGGTTTCAATTAGCCAGGATTCACGAGGGACAAACCCAGGACCGAGGAATTCGGAAAGACAAAGTTCCGGATGACGATAGGAGCAGTCAGGGTGGAGCTAGTCTTATTCGCGATAATAAAATCGACAATCGTTCAGCTGTAGCACCCTTTCGATGTTTAACTCGCATGCCACCAGAAGGAAGCACGGGGGCTGGGATACTGCCAGGTTGCCCAAGCCTAGACAGGGGAAGTCGAGAGGTGGAGGTCGGGTTCGAACCACGGACCTTCCGGTCAGTAAATTCGCGCTCTAACCACTTGGGCCATCTTATTCACACTGAATACGGATATCTTAAAAGTAGTAAGATGTGATTGTACACCTGATATATTCAGTGATTAAATTTGTTTTGCACCACATCGATTTGGTTTCGTCCTGGCTACTGGAAAAGTGCAGCGAGTTGGCACAGAATAGGAGGGCAAAATAACCGGCGTCATAAAAATCGATGGAAGCATGTGCTGGTCATTCAACCTTAAAAGTACATGTATGAGGACCCTGTACGCCGTCAGGTGATGGTGAGAACCATCACCAGACGAATTCTAGTAGTTGGTGGCCTATTTGTGCTTTTTTGCAAGTAGTATTGTTCACTTCAGATCAGTTTAGCAGCCATGCACAAAAAGTACGTTGATTCCACTGCTTCACTTTATGTCAACCAGAAATAGTAGAACAGAGTATATATAGCCAGGTATTGAGGGAGATGGCATAATCAATTGGTTGACGTTCAGTCTGGTTCTGATTGTCTCACAAAGCATTGAATGCAACAGCTTTTGTGCAGGGATGCAAGTGACTGCTTCACAACGCCATACCCGCCGATGTCACTAACCATTGAGGGAGTGAACAATGTTAAAAGATAACAAGAAGAAACCTGACAGTTTTATAGTTGTAGGCACAGACCTCCTCATCACATAAATCAAAATAAACCTGTTGGATCGACTGAAGAAACCCCTTCGAGAGTGTGATAAATGGATCGACCGTTCAATTCATCCTTCTTCGGAATGATTGGGGGTTTGACATGCGGAAACAACGAATGGGCCGTAGTCGGTGCCAGAACAGCTATCGTCAACGATGAGTCATGTTTGAACAGCGCAGGTAAGCAAAGCACGATGGTCGATGAGTCATACCGCACCAACAGGGACGAAACTAAGCATTAGCTACACACTTTTGACTGAACTGCACTGACAGAAACTGACACAGACAAGTAAATAACAGTAGGACTGGCCGTTCAACATCGCAGTCGGCAAGACAGCGAACAAAAAAAACGTAGGCGTGAATAGCTCATGCTGAACTGCCATTAGTTTTCAATTGCAACATTCATGTCAATTGGCGGTTGCACTATTTACTGTTCACCAGTACGCGAAAGTAGGCTACACGGTTGTAAAAAAAGTAGACACACATATTGTACTAGGAATGCTGTCATGTGAACGGCTTTTGGTTACACACAACTCGGATTGTCCCAAGGGAAGTGACGTTGCCGAGACTGTTCACTTAAGGACGTGGGAATTGGATAAAAGGTTCCAATAGCAATCTCATCATGACGCGATCACGCGTGCAGCTGAACAGATTAGTAAGGCCGTGAGCGATCGAACGAGTACGCACGGACAAGAATCGGACACAACGGTGAGCAGCCGAACCCGGTTTCAAACGCTACACCCAGTAGGAATAGGCACTCAACGAACAGAAGTTGCACACCACAAACCCGTAGATGTCGGCTATGATGTGGGTGGGAATCCCGTTCAAATTTCAATCGATTTGCTGCTGCCTACTTGACCAGCAAGGATAAACATCTAATCCGGAATTCAATTTCGCCGCCACAGAATGATGATCTGGTTTGACTCACAAATTCACGTGAGAGCTCTTGCGACCTTACCAGGTTAGATAGCCTATGTGTTCAAATTGTTGAGCATGAGATAGCGATTTATTAATAAACTGTCTACTACGCCCTTCGATTGATTAGTCTGACGCAGGTTTTTCCCTAAACATACCGTGCCTTGTCGCTCAGCTGAACTATTCGGGGTCACGTTATGGCAAGCCGCCTATTAGATAATATGTAAAGCAAAACGAGTTCAACTGTGTGGTATGAAAATCACATTCAGTGTTTCGACAAATACACTCATTTGGATACCAATCTGTTTTCACGGGAGACTCACCTGAAGCCCAGCTCAATTACTCGTTTATGATGTTCTTCTTCAACAGAATGTTCTGCACCAGGTCATTTCGTTTCTTTCGATAGGATGCTCGAGGTATCGGAATGCACTGTACAGACGTAGCATACTACTCATAAGGTCGAAGAGTTTTCAGCGACCTTATGAGTAGTGTGTTACGCATAAATAATTTATTTCTTGGCTTATGTAATTCGCCTTACACAGTACGTTGCTTTTTCAAAGTAAACTAAAATTCTTCCTTACAAAGGATTTTCGAACCCGCTTTTCTATTATCAGTCGCTTATTTTATGAACTTTGGCGTGATGACTGAAGGATGAGAGGGACTATATCACATCCTGGTGCGAGTTAACAATACTGCTGACCAGCCGCTCATGGACAAAAGGTTAGGTGTTCCAGCCGAAGGACAGCAGATCAGATCACCAATAAAAGGGAACAATGAAAAAAAACGTAGAGTTGTACATTTTCATAAGAGTTGTTGGTGCTTATCAAGAAGGCCAGATTCCTGAAAGCAACCTCAGAACGTCCGGAACCTACTGCTCCACCAAAAACTCAACAGCAAAACCGGCAAGCATCCAGGCCAGTCAATCATTCAGTTAATTCTGCAAAAGCTGATGGGTGTTCATGCATGCCACAGCGGCACGACCGAATGTGATCTGCGTTCTGGCATTTCACAGAAGCACGATCGATGTTGACGTGTGTTCACTAACGCCTATCAGACAGCCTGGATCAGAAGTCCCCTTTAAATAGCGCGGGGCCGTTGTAACTTTTGCTCTCGCACTCGCACGCTCTCGAACTCGCTTGTTCGAAATATAGCTGTTGTGTTCCCTTCTGTGAGTCTTTTTTTTCGGCAACTAGGCACTGGAGCGGGTCAGCAGCAGACAACACAGATTGACGAATCAGCAGATATAACAGTGCTACTTTGTGACATTTGGCAGCTGTACAAGTTACATCAATACTTTCAGGATTCTCAGCTTCAACAGATAGTTTAACCCCTAACTATCCAAACCAAATTGTTTAAATAAACAGCTAGTTTGTTTCATTGTGATTTAGACATTTAGGCTTACGAGTACTTTATTTCAGTTTCAGTTTTCGTTGGAGAAGTGTTGATTTGAACTCGAGGATGTTTGCCAGTGGTTTTCCTCACGGCCACTTACTTTCGTCAGCCGCGAAAGTAAGTTGAAGCTCTAGGGATCTTCGACCCAGAGTGGCTTGACAGATGACAGGAGCTTGTTGGCGAGCCATCGGGGTTATCTAACACAAACATCTTCTTTGTGTTCACCCTGTAAAATACTTGGTTTTCGATACTGCTACGATAGATTTTGAATGCTCAGCATCAAAACGAGATGTCATTTACTGCCTGCAAAAGTGGGCTTCATAGTCATATATTGTACTAATATAATATTACTAGTTAACGGCATAGCCATTTCCAACCAACCACGCATGTTGCTCTGCTGTCACCAGCGGCTTCTCAATGCTTGTTCTTGGGAGATTCGCCTAAAGGGCCACTTTCCTCCGCCACACATTTTGTAGGAGGTCATTGGTGGATATACTTTGAAGGTGAGGCCATACTTATAGAGGCCCGCAACACTGTAAGTTGTTTTTTACGAAGATACATTGCGATTTGCCAGATGTCGTACCAACTGAGCCAAGAAACGGCCTGTGTGTAGCCCGTGCAGTTGAAGAATATCGGTTGAGTCTCACCAGAAAACCAAATCGTTATGCAAATGCGTGTATTTGTCGCAACTGTCTCTCCTACTCAGTCAGGCATTTTCGGTGTGCCATGTAAGCTGGGAATTAGTGATCAGCCCAAGATCTCACACATTTCTTGATCTGGTCAAATCCTCCAGAATCTATAGATGTGGCGATGAATGCAACTTTTTGTCTCCAGTAAAAAAAACTCAGGTCTTAATTGCACAGACATTTGCAACAGTGTGTACGTTCCAAGCGGCTTCAGCAGAAAGTTCCTGTCTCCAACCACGAACGGAGCTGGTGGACAGCGGTTTTTTCATTCAGGCGACCAGCATTTGTGCACTTGTTCGGAATTAGACCACAGGCCGACACACACTCGCCTTCAAGGATGGGGATCGCGTGATCCTCACTGTGCCTGGTTGGAGACACTACAAGATGTGGCTGGCAACCGATGTCAGTGGCATTCTTGTTGTCAGCTTCTATCCAGATTGCCTGAGTGAATGTCTGGAGGTATAGGCACTTCGGAATGATTGTGGTAGGCTAGCACTAAGTCCCTTCCCCGTCCACCTTTACTCTTTTCTTTACAATAAGGCTTTCGAACAAATCATGGTGGTACGGTAGTGAAGCATCGGCGTTGAACACTGATGTCATGCTGTCGGTGATGATGATGACGAAGCATGTTTTGACCGACTTTTCTGATGAATATTACTGTTCTGTTACTATTACTATTCTAATGATATTACTGTACAGCGAATCCGGATCATAAAGCAACAAACTCTTTGAAAATGCATGTTCGCTTGTGTCCGGAGGCCACTCGCTCATAATAACCGAACATCATGTCGATTGGATGGATGTATCGCATGCAGGATACCGACCAAACCCTTATAGAGGCCCGCAACACTGTAAGTTGTTTTTTACGAAGATACATTGCGATTTGCCAGATGTCGTACCAACTGAGCCAAGAAACGGCCTGTGTGTAGCCCGTGCAGTTGAAGAATATCGGTTGAGTCTCACCAGAAAACCAAATCGTTATGCAAATGCGTGTATTTGTCGCAACTGTCTCTCCTACTCAGTCAGGCATTTTCGGTGTGCCATGTAAGCTGGGAATTAGTGATCAGCCCAAGATCTCACACATTTCTTGATCTGGTCAAATCCTCCAGAATCTATAGATGTGGCGATGAATGCAACTTTTTGTCTCCAGAAAAAAAACTCAGGTCTTAATTGCACAGACATTTGCAACAGTGTGTACGTTCCAAGCGGCTTCAGCAGAAAGTTCCTGTCTCCAACCACGAACGGAGCTGGTGGACAGCGGTTTTTTCATTCAGGCGACCAGCATTTGTGCACTTGTTCGGAATTAGACCACAGGCCGACACACACTCGCCTTCAAGGATGGGGATCGCGTGATCCTCACTGTGCCTGGTTGGAGACACTACAAGATGTGGCTGGCAACCGATGTCAGTGGCATTCTTGTTGTCAGCTTCTATCCAGATTGCCTGAGTGAATGTCTGGAGGTATAGGCACTTCGGAATGATTGTGGTAGGCTAGCACTAAGTCCCTTCCCCGTCCACCTTTACTCTTTTCTTTACAATAAGGCTTTCGAACAAATCATGGTGGTACGGTAGTGAAGCATCGGCGTTGAACACTGATGTCATGCTGTCGGTGATGATGATGACGAAGCATGTTTTGACCGACTTTTCTGATGAATATTACTGTTCTGTTACTATTACTATTCTAATGATATTACTGTACAGCGAATCCGGATCATAAAGCAACAAACTCTTTGAAAATGCATGTTCGCTTGTGTCCGGAGGCCACTCGCTCATAATAACCGAACATCATGTCGATTGGATGGATGTATCGCATGCAGGATACCGACCAAACCAAGGCATGCTCTGATTGGTCAGAATGCCAGATAATCACGATCGAACATTGTAGCTCGGCCCTTCTCGCGCGCACGGAGATTCCAGCTCTACCCCGTGGAACATTCTGTGACCTATAAATACAGTAAAAAAAACTCAGGTCTTAATTGCACAGACATTTGCAACAGTGTGTACGTTCCAAGCGGCTTCAGCAGAAAGTTCCTGTCTCCAACCACGAACGGAGCTGGTGGACAGCGGTTTTTTCATTCAGGCGACCAGCATTTGTGCACTTGTTCGGAATTAGACCACAGGCCGACACACACTCGCCTTCAAGGATGGGGATCGCGTGATCCTCACTGTGCCTGGTTGGAGACACTACAAGATGTGGCTGGCAACCGATGTCAGTGGCATTCTTGTTGTCAGCTTCTATCCAGATTGCCTGAGTGAATGTCTGGAGGTATAGGCACTTCGGAATGATTGTGGTAGGCTAGCACTAAGTCCCTTCCCCGTCCACCTTTACTCTTTTCTTTACAATAAGGCTTTCGAACAAATCATGGTGGTACGGTAGTGAAGCATCGGCGTTGAACACTGATGTCATGCTGTCGGTGATGATGATGACGAAGCATGTTTTGACCGACTTTTCTGATGAATATTACTGTTCTGTTACTATTACTATTCTAATGATATTACTGTACAGCGAATCCGGATCATAAAGCAACAAACTCTTTGAAAATGCATGTTCGCTTGTGTCCGGAGGCCACTCGCTCATAATAACCGAACATCATGTCGATTGGATGGATGTATCGCATGCAGGATACCGACCAAACCAAGGCATGCTCTGATTGGTCAGAATGCCAGATAATCACGATCGAACATTGTAGCTCGGCCCTTCTCGCGCGCACGGAGATTCCAGCTCTACCCCGTGGAACATTCTGTGATAACCCTATAAATACACTTCCTTTGTCTCTGGAAAGGGATGTCTCCAGATACCGTCTCTTTTGATACACCATCGTGTCCGGAGCAGGATACCAGAGACCGACATAGAAGTTGCACCACAGTTAGCAAGACAACTTGTTAGCTTTTTGACTGCCAGTGATGTTGTTATCTGTTCAGAAACGGTGTTCAATGGTCTTTCCGACTAGAAAGCCCGGATCGGAGTATGTAAGGTCTCAGTTCCTTGAGTTCTTTCCTTACATATCACTCAGCATCCTGTTTTTTCCCCAATCGATTCATTCTTCTGAGAAACTGCGGAGAAAAGACATATGTATTGTGAATTAGCTAGTCGACATCGTACTTCCAGTGATCCACTGTTGCATGGTTCGGGTCCCATCTTTTGTTCAGAGCAACTCGTCAGGCATTTGTTAGTTTTTTTCAATTAATTCTAGGGACTTTGTCCACGAGTGGAAAATTAGCTGTATCTGTTAAATATAAAATAGATGAAATAAAAATATAAAAATAAAAATAAAATAAAAAAATAAAAAATATAAATATGCAAAGCAATCTAAGTGCTTTGCCTTCACCATTTTTCTCCAACCTTTGGACGTAGTGAAGCACTGATAGTTTTTCAGTGTTCTACTTACGTAACCCAGCCTGACGTGCAACCACGGCAACAGACTTATCTTCGTCAGTGATGACGCGTTAGCGTTTTCCTGCGACGCGCGTGCGTATATTTCTTTGTTCATGGGACACAGCTGCTGAGGGCGAATCACATCCACGTATATTCAACTGCGGTGTACAATAATCACGTGGAATCACGGTGTTCTCACCTAACACCACCAGTAGGCCTTCCGAAAAAATACCCATTGTGCTTTCATTTTTGCCAATCTCTATAAGCAGACCAGTGACCCTAGGGATCCACACGCATTAGAGTTCATTTTGTGGTGATTGGGACATCAGGATAGCCAGGATAAACTTGTCCAAGTAGAACATAAGGTCGACGGAAACTCGGGGGCTGCGCCTACCTGATGAACCCCAAGAAGGGCGAAACCGGTCGTGGGCTGTCGAAGAGTTTTCAGCAACCTTGTGAGTAGTTTTCTTTATGTCCAAGGCCAGTTTATTACCTCGGTTCGGTAAGAGAAAATATCGGTCATCTCATAGGCGCACTAACCACACGAAAGATGCAGTCGTGACGACTAGCCTTAGGCGTTGCACAGACACTGGTCCGATGTGTACCGGTGACGTATTCGTGACGATTAGCCTTAGGCGTTGCACGGACAACGGTCTGATGTGTCTGACTAGTCGATCTTGTGTTTTGTTTCCGGAGAAGTTTGCTTCCCGAAGGATGACTTCTCGATGGTTTCAAGGCGCTGCTGACTGAGCCTTTGGTCTTGTTGTGACCATCATCCCTCTCCACTCGAAAGGTATGCGTCGTTTGGGAATAGATGATAACGAGGTTTTCTGAGTAAAGCAGAACATACATTCAGACAGACATGCGCACACAGACACAAGACGTCTCCAAAAACCAAGCTACCACGCACTTCTATACAACCATGCACTGATGATGTCACCCTCGAACGTTTGGAATAAAACTCGCAAACGCCAAGAACAAGTCAACTGCCAGCTATATGACCATTCACGAATTATCTACGTCAGACAATATTTATCTCTAAACAGCGCAGAAGTGGCTGGAAAATTCAAAACCCGGCAGCTAACTATCATATGATTGGACAACGTTACAAGTTATTGATCTCATCATCTGGTGTTACCATTGGGTGACTTCCGCCGAACAAACCGCTGCACCTCTCAATGGGGGTATAATTAATTCCATCAGGTACTGTTACGGAAAGTAAGTAGTCTAGAAATAAATTGCGTCGATTGCCGTATGCACAGAGCTCAAGATGCTGCCGGATTCCGTAGTATTGAATGGTTTCAACAGGAAGCATGACTACTGTTCTTCTTAACTAATGAACTTGGCCAAATTTCTCAGTCTTCATGGGTTCGAGATTTGCAGGATTTCCGCATTTTGACTATTCACGGTTTTGATTTGCTTAGCTTGCTTGATATTCCAACTATGCTTCACAAATACCTTTACCTCACCGGTGACCAGAATGACCGATTGGAGTTATTCTAACTGAGCAGGACCACGTTATTTACAGTGGGTCCAACTAAGATGATTCCGGTTGGCAAAAACCATTCCGAGCAAGAAATAAGCAGTCGGATAAAGGAGTCACATCTTTTTGTGAGTGGATTTATCGCTGAACGGCTCACTGCACAGTATGTGTTCGCCGGCAAGAAGCTAGGTTGTGTGCCGCAGTGACATCCAGGTAACTCTCACTGCGATAAGCTGGGTGGGACAACCGTAGAACCCCGGGCCACTGTGTCTGGGGCTCCGCCACGAAAATCCTCTATGGAACATTCCCTATGCCGTTAACCGCTATCCAAACCAACACTCCAAAGTCTGCTATCCGTCACATTCGTTGTTTTGACTCAATAAACAGACAGAGACTAACAGTCATTGATCATGACTGCGGCTGGAAATCATACCAGGGAGCATGGAACTACAGGACAACAAAAACGAGACGTGCCGCCAGTCACAAGTAATCAATACGTGTCAAGAGCCGAAGCATTTTATTTCTAAACTCAGAGGTCGTATAAGTGACCTTCTCAGATGCTGTCAGAAGTCAATTCTGCAAAGAATACTACATGATTTCTAGCACTGCGAAGAATTTGTCACTTCAGCGGGGATCTCATTCTATGAGTGAAATCGGTCTGTGTTGAAAACCAGCAAGTGCTGTCCGTCTGTTTGAAGTCATCAGTAGCTCACATCTCACGAAGCTCTAGGGGAACCGTCTAGTTAGTACCGAATACTGAGCCACTTGGCCACCATTAGTTGTTCAGAAACTTGCATCCGAGGAGGACATAACCGCATTCATCCTTCAGTCATTCAGTTCACGTCACGTAGTCACGTGTTGACTGGCTCCTCGAATGACCACTTTGCAGATGGAAGGCTCACGCGACTTATGTGGTTTTTCCGTTCGGGGTATACCAATTATAGTTCGTATCTAGAGATTCTATCAAATTCCGTAAAACGAAACGAAAACGCGACTGTAAACGACACCAAACCACAGCCAGCACATGATTTTGATGAATTTTTTTCGACATGGCACGTTCACGACGCCGACACCAAACTAATGACGCGCGATAGTATGGATATGGCGACTGAACTCAGTGAGATAACATTTTAAGGTGATGGTACAGGTGAAGTCGGCATGCAAACACTGAATGGTTTCAATTTTGCTCTCACTATACACCAGTACAAAAAGGACCAAAGCCATGGTACGCTCTGGAAGGTTGGAAGTTCAGGACACAGATAAAAGCGTATTGCAAACCCCTGAAAACAGACTGTCTTTGATGTTCCACAGTCTTCTGCTTGTGGTGGTGACAAACGGGGAAGAGGTCTACCACTGAATCAGATTTGAAATGCCAGTCCACTGGCCTATCGTAACTTTTATCGAAATAACTGGCGCTTGTTTAACGCAGATAAACCGTAATAGCGAGTGTCTGATAAGCAGGCCGATTCCGGTAGACCACAGAGGGACAAAACATGGACATCCCACCTAAATATACATGAGAATAATGGACACTAACTGCAGAAAAGTTCACGGCGCTCTGTGCTAGGTACCTCCCACAGAGAGATCCCCACAAGTAGGGCAACTATTTAGCTTCACATGGGGTTGGGTGGATTCACTTCGAAAGATATAAGTGCACCAGACACTGGAAAAGTTGCACAACAAATGCTTAGTGATAACCGGAGAGATTAAAAGATCACATTATTTTAGGACTGGGTTCAACTCCGGACAAGAATATAGTGAACCTAATA